AATGGCTTCATATGCGTTTATAACCCTAATTCAATTATGAATCTCTTTTAAAAATGAGTGATACGCTTGTCTGTGGCCAGATATGGGAACTGCAGACTTTTCATAACACCGCGTGCGATCAGCGTGTCGGACTGCTGATATTATAATCGCAGAAAAATTATTATCTCAAATCCATGAATCGGTTGAGTGCTCATGTTTGCTCACTGTTCATAACAATCGCCACAAAACGTCAGCGCAGAATTAACAGGAAAGCTAAGCAGTTTTTGAAACACCAAACAAACAAAAGAACTCCGTGGTCTATATTCCGTAAGCGAACTATACCGACCGAGCGACTGCCGCTTCTCGGCGAAGTTAGTGCCAGCTCTTGCGGATAGAGAGTGTCACGCGGTCAGCGCAAAGGATCCCCACGGCCGTTAATCTCGGTTTTCTAGATCGGAACCGCTATTTTCTTGAAGTAGCTCCTCAATTATCCTCACGAGGCTGAGTGGACCCTGTTCCAACTTCTCAGAAAATCCGGTAGCGCCGGGAATCGAATCCGGAGGACACATGGAACACAGTACAGCTACAGAACTAATATCCGAAACGAATACGCACGGACAAAAATAATTGATATGGACGAGGAAAATGGCGTTTAAATCAGTTGGAGACGCATGATAACAAGATTTCCGAGCTTAGTATGTGAAGAAGAAGAAGAAGAAGATTTTATTATTCTTTCATCTGTGGTTAGATCTCCCAGACCGTGTCTTTCTTCAAGGTTTTCCGAGCAATATTGTTGATGAATTTCTCATATCAATATTATCTAGATGTAAGACATAGTTACGGTGTTATTAATATGAATTTTAGTTTCGTGTTTTAAACATGTGCAGAAACAATGTGTACATCTCTTTTTATACGTCCGTTGGTCCTGAACAGCCGTTGTTCAGCAAGAATTAATGCCCACAATTGTAACATTTCCAAACGCAGTTCTTCTCTGGTCGTTTCTGTTATTTCCACAGCAAGTGGAATATAAACTGCTACTGTTGTGGCGTAGATTTGCTGCCTGCCAGATGAATAAGCAATTCTTCATAACTTCGTGTGGCATTACTGACTCTTTTCAGATCGTTGATTGAACTATATGTAGATGGACTAGGTCTACACCGAACGGCAGAATATTATTTCATGCATGTGATAAAATACGAGGATGTGAATGTTGGGTTAATTTCGGAGTAGAACCGTTGCAAATGCTGGGCCTCTTTATTATAGCTGAGGTTCATTATTTGATAATTTCTTGTTTATTTAATCGTTTTTCACTCTTTATGCAAAATAAATTGTGAAACTGTCTTCTTTCGCTTTTATACATCCTGGGAGGTTAATATTTTAAACAAAGCGGTTTGTACACGTTTCTTTAACATTAAAAAACATATGCATTTGTGGAGCCCCCGTGATTCTCTTAGAATAATTAGCAGTTATTTCCCTAAGCAGCATTAATCGGCTGGTCTTTGTAAAGGAGACTCGGTGACTCTTCCGTAAAACATTAATCGATTTATTAAGGATTATTTAGATTATTTAAGGCCCCAGGAATCAACGAAGAGTGGAAGATTCTTTATTGAATTTTGTAACATACGCGTAGTCTTGCCAGTTGAAGAAATGAATATATTTTAGCGTGTACATCCGTTGCAATGCAATGACCGCGAGATAGACGAACAAACAGCGGTGTTATGCAACACGTTTCTAGACAAGGGATCGGTAAGCACGTTCTTGCTGCAACGGTATAGTTATTATAGGAAACGGTGTTTTCTACTAGGTCCGTGCAAAGAGTTTATAAGGAGGACAATTGGGGCGACTCAGAGTTGAGTTCTGCAACGGAGGCTGAGAAGAGATAGTGCTATAGTTCGTTGACGGTTAAGTTGTGGAATATTCGCTGGAGAGTAACAACGTGAACATAGAAGCTGAAGAATCTCCATTGTATAGAGCTATTACCTAGCAACGACTAGTGAAGACAGTGGAGGCTGGAGAGGACTTAGTGTGTAGTGATTCGTAAAATGTGTAAATAAGCAATTGCGCTGTAATTACTTGTAATTCCGAGTGGTGTGTGTAAGTGGTTAATAAATCCATTCGCCAATCCGTACCCCGTCTATACCACAGACTCTACAGGTGGCGATTTGTAATTAAATAGTGATGATATGGAATGAAACGGCCATAACATATTCTAAGACACTGTCCAAATGTCCAAATGTATTCGTAGAAAAGGTAAAGTAAACCAGGTAATTATCTGACAAAATAGTCGATCTGCTGGCGAAGATTCGAAACGTCGATCTCCCGTATACAGACATACGAGTTGATAGCTAATCGCAACTTTCGTAAAGGACATGTAGAGGGACAGAAAACGTACAAGACGATTCAGTAATTATTCATTACGGGGTTGCAGTATGGCAAAGCCAAGGCTGGAGGCGTGTTTACAATTTACATTCATATTTCCCCCAGGATCTGAAACTTTTCTTGTGTTCGTGTTCGTGTAGCTTTCATTAGTAACTGAACTTCGATACAGTGTCACTGAAGCCTGTATCTCGCACAGCACAGTCAAGTCTTTTGTTCTAAGACTTTGCGCCTTTCTATGTGTAGCATATATTAATGTGGTTTAATGCACTTTTAAGTGAAAATCACCGTGACATGATGGGAAGGCAGTGTAAAATCTTACGCCAATATAGGTCACATCTTAAATTACTGAACTTAATTTCCATTTAATTCTATACAGCATTTAACATAAAAATTCCTTGAATTTTAAGTTATCATGGATGTGTATATGAAGATTACGGTCTTCTGGGTTGTAACAGCTTGGAGTTCGGGGGGATCCCAGCGTTTCAGAGGATCATATCGCCTCCATCTTCAGAGTCGAAGAATAGATGAAAGAAGAAACCAGCAGGTAAAGTCGACAAGCTGAAGAAAACGCAAGCTCCCTTGAAGCCTGAACCTTCTTTGGTTCTGTTACTGCTTTATTACAAGCAGACAGTGTCTGTTATTTTGCCGTTGCCTAGTACTGGATATAGTATTGAAAGTTACAGCCATATTCATCAGTGTTTCCCCCGAGTTTTCAAGAAAATACTTAAAACTGGCCACTTAAGGTTCAAGAGCCATCACCCCTCTTCTCGTCGAAGAGGACGTCCAGTTTCCAGACCCATAAACGGTGTTGGAATCAACAAAAATTTGATAATGGTACCCGACTGTACTCGATACCAGGAACGACTGTGCTGGCTAGGGCCAGCAGAAATTTACTCTACCAGGTACCTGGACATAGCCATCCCTCATTCCCGAGCGTCTGTGATTGTATCCTCCTGATTGGGAGGTCTCTGCAAGGATTATCCCTGAGAATACCGGGAGATATCCTTAGGTTCCTACCCCACAAAAATACTTGACAGATAAGTAACTCAGATAAACTAAACGAAGCCATGAAAGTGACATTTATTGGTATACTAAGGCCACGGAAAGAAGTCCCCTGGATTAATTCCCACCTACCCCTCCAGAACTTAGCCTTGAGCCGTTATGCTCCCCACTACAGCGTACTTCCCCATATTCCCCTCTACTCGTACTTTTATAGCCATTCGGTTCACATGAATTGTGGGAGTGATCACCTTGGCTAGCTTATTGCCTGCTTCGTGCTGGTTTCGTGCAGGTTATATGCTGCTCTCAAACGTTGTACTCTCTCCAAATTACACCGTGTTATAACACAGAAGACATTACTATATGTTACAATTTGTTTCGGTTGTTTTCATATTGATCCCTATCACATTAGAACAGTACCCACGACATACGAGATTGAAGCCTTACCGTGTCATTTTTCTCAAAAACAATTTTGAAATGCCGTAGAGGACGTGTAAATTTTATTTGTAACCTTAACTTTTCGATAGGCCCTGTGGTTCACGTTTATCAAAGCACAAGCAGCACAGAAAGCTACATTTGTGAGATATTAATTTAGTTTTACCAGAAATGAGATTTCACCACGAGATTTGAAGTTACTGACGATAATAATGATAATAGTAGTAATAATTGGTCGAGGCACTCTGCTACAAGCCGGAAGATCTTGAGTTCGATTCCTTATGGGGTTACTGGATTTTTCAATTGACCTAACCCTTCCAGCCGCATTATGGCCTTAGGGTCGACTCAGTTTCTTAGGAGAAATGAGTACCAAGAATCTTCCTGGGGCTACAAGTATGGCCGGCTCGTAAGGCTGACAACCTCAACCCCATCTGTGAGCCGATTGTTTAGAAAATGTGGGATTCTCGACGTCTGACAAACCCTTTGAGCCTCTATGGTCTATTACAGGGACAGTTTTACCTTTAATAATAATAATAATAATAATAATAATAATAATNTGAAACTGACCAGAAGATTGATGTTAAAGAAGTGATTGACGTTGTTATGTACGTGTTTCACTTGCGGCTAAGCCGCACGGAACGGTTCACTTATTACGTGAAAGCGAAGTTGAAATATTAATGATAATTTATGCAGCAATTTATGGACGCTCGCGGTCTTAAGGAGTAAGGCACAACACTCTGTATTCGTATTCAGGGAGTACTGGTTTCGAATCTACGCCAGAGCACTGACTATCCCGACTGTGCTTCTTACATAGGAGTCCCACCAATCATGTGCCGGAATAGAACCTCCACTATTCCACAACCGTTTCCTTCCAGATCCTTTCCAGATCTCCATAATCCTTCTTATAATTCGACTTTGTACAGTCTAATGTTTCCCGGGGGTAAAGCGGCCGGGGCTTGAAGCTGACTATTCATCTCAAACTAGTGACGAGATCAAGAATACGTGGATCTGTACATCCACTCCACCATACTTCTTCATGGCGTAGTGATTAATTAGTTAAGCACGGGTACGGCTGTACTTTTTACGGTCTAGATGTTGATATAAACCACTTCCTGTGGTCTGATAGGTGAGTCCCGACGTTTATGAGGGAAGTATTGATGTGTTCAGGCAGAAGACAGCTCACGAATGAATGTTTTTTGTCCCGACAGATGATCCCCGGCAACACTAACACGTACACCGTGGTGGAACAGCGCCTCGACCCGCCGGTGCTGGCCACGAAAGTGCGAGTCGTTCCCTACAGCGAACATGTGCGGACAGTCTGCATGAGAGTGGAGCTCGTGGGAAGTCGCTGGCAGGGTAAGTACCGCAGCCTCTTGTACATGTTCACGGTGACTGGGCTACGGCATGAGCGACCGAGGAGTCAGGGTTCGATTCCCGGTTGAGAAAGTAAATTATTTTCTCTTCTCCTAACGTGACCTCCCCTAGCGTAGTCAGTATAGCGACTGGAAGCCCTGGTAGGGTCAAAAATTTTCTCTTCACGTCATCCAGACCGACTCTGGGGTCCACTCAACCTCCTATTCAATTGGTACCGGGGACTCTTTCCCCGGGAGTAAAGCGACCGGGGCGTGAAGCTGGCCACTGACCTCCTGTTAGTGCCGAGGTCATGAAAACATGGATCTATACATCCACTCCTCCATACACCTTCATAACGTAGTGCTTAATTAGTTGAGCATAGTGACGATTTTACCTTTACCATAACCTGCAGTGCAGACCGACTATAGGGCCCACCCAGCCTCCTATACAACATGTACCCGGGGTAAAGCGGCACGGGCGTGAAGCTGACCACTCATCTCCATCAATTGACAAAGTTAAGTAAGGTGGATCTCGTGTGGAGGCGGTTCAGAATACCTCCACCGTAGCACTGGGAGTCGCAGAAGGCTACGAATAAGGAACCCGGTACCTGGGATTGTAACTAGGCCACCATGTTCCTGGGGATATAAATACGGGACCTAGCCCACCAGGTTGGGGGTTGGACGCAAGGATGACGGGCCTGCTCTGTAGAAAATTACTGTTGTGAAATCCAAAGAAGTGAATACCGGATGCAATCTGCAGAATTTTCTAAAGAAGGCTGTGGCTCAAAAAAGGCTGTTTTGCCAATGATGATCCCCCCTATGTCTCTTGGCATGGTGATCAATTAAATATGCCCAGGACAAACTTTAGGTATGTTCATGAAGTGTCTAATTATCTGAAATAGTGATTTAATATACTTTAATTATTTAATATACTTGAGTGTATGAGTGTAGTTGTTACCTGTATAATGTGTAGCTTGGCAGTTGTTGAAATCGAAAGTTCAGAAGAGCGTGCCGCTGGAGGGTATGTTGGTAAGGGCAAAATAATCGCTATTAGCGAAATTCATAAAATTTCTGTGTGTTTATCCGTGGTGTAAGTCACTCAACCACTGTTATAGTTAACTACTAAATTGTGACTTAATTGTATTCCCATTGTTTAGTGGTGAACTAGATAATGATTATTGTTATGCATTGTTACCAGCTAAAGAAAAGTGAGGTTAGGTATAATTTTGAAGAAGTTTGTTCTTTTTTAGCCAAATTTCTTTATTTCGAGAAGTATTGTTTCAAAATAAAGAAAGTAGGCAAAAAAAGGAATATAGGCTTATGCTATCTCTATGCTGTCTGTGTCTCTGTGTATCAGTGTGTCTGTGTATCCCCCCGCTATGAGCTTTTGACGGGCTGAACCAGACTTTATGAAACTTGGTAGCTGAGCCAATCTGGACGGCGTACTTCATAAATCCCTCCCATTAGTTTGAATATCTTTATGTATATCTCACCTATAGTTGCTAGGTAACGGCTCTGCAAAAACTTTACCGCGGAAACGAATTCACACTCAGCAATAGAAAAATTGTTGTCCCAGTAGTATCAAGGAAAGTTGGCGATTAGTTCTTTCCAGAACTTATTTTTTAAATGTAAGCCTTGTCGAAAATATTCAGTCTCATTATCGGAAACATATTATTATCCCATCAAGTTTATTAACTTTATACATTTTCAAGTTACTAAGGTCGAAAATTTTTATATTTATTTTTAAAAATTGTACCCGGATAATTAGGAGCCTGGATAGCGTAGTCGGTATAGCGACTGCCTACATGCTGGAAGACCGAGGAGGTCGGAGTTCGAGTCCCGGTAGGGTCAAGAATCTTCAATTCTCCATGTCGTCCAGACCGGCTTTGCGGTCCACCAAACCTCCTATACAATGGGTACCGGGGTCTCTTCCCCGGGGGTAAAGCGGCCGGGGTGTGAAGCTGACCACACCTCCAACTAGTGTCTAGGTCAAGAAAATGTAAATCTATACATCCACTCCCCCATACGCCTTCATGACGTATTGCTTAATTAGTTAAGCACAGGGACAATTTTTTACTCCAATATTTAAGCTGGCTTAGTAGTTCATATTGATATGAAAATGAATTACAAACACAAAATATAACAGAATAAGTACTTCATGGAAATTATTAAGTTTTTTATTAGTAATTATTTTAAAATGTTTACATAGCTTTTTTATACTTGAAAAGGGACACAAAATTTTCTTGTATCCTCATAATGAGACTTTTAGTACCACTGCTGCTAAATATCCCAGTCGTAATTATGAACCACCCAGAATTCGACTCACATAGATTTATGTCCAATATTCACCTCTCCTTTGTTAATATCCTCTCTGGGCCGAATTATATCTCTTCTATTCCTGTCCAACATCTGGAGTTCTTCCCACAACTAACCATGTTTCATTTCTTTGCACTTTCATTTTGATTTATCGTGTTCTATTTATGAATAGCCTTAAGAACCATTTCACGGATAAAGAAGCATTACTTTCAACATCTCTGTGTAAATAGTCTCTGTGTGATATGAACCTTTTTAAAATCCGGTGACTAAACATTTCCGTCTGTCAAGCCTTATTATCTTCAAATAAAAAAACATAGTTGGAAAAAAAAATATTAAAGTGTGGTACATGTTATGGTTGCTGACCTTGGGCTGCATAAACACCCAATGCAGTAACAACAGAAGAAAAATGTATCTAAAAGCATTTATGTTTAAACAGCTGCATGCTTGCCAGACAGATTTCTGTAGCTTTTAACGATGCCAAGCTTAGGAGTATGAGGAAGAAGGTGTTTTTGAAGGGTTTCAGAATACGTACCAATTGGGAGGGTGATGTGGCATAAGTAAGGAAGGTAATGGGTTCCGGTGTGATGAAAGTTAATCCGGGTTCATGAGATATTGAGACTTTCCCAAGTCCCTTGAAGTCGTAACCATCCAGAATCAAGTAGTTTGGGTAATTACGCAAGGTTGGAACTAGGACGGAAAGTAACAGATCTAGAGGAACCGTAGCAGCTCGTATTCGTGGTACCCTGAAGCTAACCCGCTTTCAGTCTATACAGTTCTGTGGAGATACCAACTATAATCCATAGTTTGCAGTTTAGTCTGCTCGAAAAGCTGAAACAGCAAATCTTGCCTATCGCGTCTCTCGCCCACAAACACAATCACAGGTTCTCCGCAGCACAGCCACCGCACTGTACAGCAGTTACTGTCCTTTGCTCTGATCTGACCTAGGAAATTGCAGTAAACGTTAAAATGGTTCAGCCTGACTGTATTGCTAAATTTGAGGTTTACTCAGCGGTAAATACGAGCATAAAGATTATTAAAAGGCAAAGCTATCCCTATAACAGGCCATGAAGGCGCATAGGGTTGTGAGACATCCAGACTTCCACATTTTTTAGACAATCGGCTCACAGTTGGAAGTGAGGTTGTCAGCCCTACGCGCCGTCCGCCCTTTACCCCCCAGGAAGATTCCTGGTACTCATTTCTGTTAAGAGGTTGAGTCGACCCCAGGGTTATAGTGCGGCTGGAAGGATTATGTCAATTGAAAAATCCAGTGGCCTCATCGGGAATCCAACCCATGAGCTTCCGGCTTGTAGCACAGTACTTCAACCAAAACTCATGGAACGTGACGCCTTGTAGCTTGACTAAGTTCTCCGACGTTTCGGAGGAACTTACTGCCTTTATCTTTATTCTGTAAAAGCAAGCAGTGTGTACTTCTTGCTGGTTACTTGCTTGGAGTGTTATTCCACCCTTAATATGGAAGCAGTACATTCCTCTGAAACGTCGGTGAACTTGTAGTGGTCATCCCGGGAGTGTTAGCTGTCTGGATAAGGAGCCAAGTACGTATATCTCAAAAGAAACGGCATTTGTCCAGCTTCGTACTGTATTTTCTCGGCTTCATGATGCGTTCCCCAGGGAGTGCGTTGGCCGTCTGCTGTGTCTGTATCATTTGACTCATAATGAAATACTAAAGGTCGCCCTCGCCTTCATCGGCATCGTGATGAATTTTGTTAAAGTTATTAAGGCCATTTCCTACGAATTTCAAGATGGACATTTTTTCTTTATCGTCGTATTAGTTATTCTAATCCCCAACGCCACTTCGGCAGATTGATTCTTGGTTAATTTGATGACGCTTTGCCAACTGCTTACATTATGTAGCGTGGAGTATTAGGGCCGAACCTATGAGAACAATTGTTGCCTCTTATGAGATGATGGTCTCTCCAAGATGGACAGTAAAATCACGAAAGGCCTCAGTAAGCACAATAGATCACTATAGGTCGCGGTGCAAGGGCCGAGAAGGCCCACCCCGTATTCATTCATTCATACATTCAAGTATAGTCGATCTCCAGGGATAGATTCGAACCCGTGACCACCTAAATATGAAGACTTAGGGCCAGCCACTGCATTGTAACATTCGGTTAAACAAAAAGGAAACTTATGTTCGGAAGACATCCCATAATCCCTTTTTGATTTTATACGCTATGTTTTCCCTAAAGAATATGTGTACATTCTCTGAATGCTGTTAGAAAAGCGAAACAAGGCGCTAAGCTGTGATCGACACGGTCAGTGTTGTTCTGTGTGGAAGTGTCCGTACTGCTTTAGTAAACTGAGTAAAATTACTGCGGCCTTTATACTTAGTGGGGGTTCCCGTGGGCTATTTCACTACTTTTTTTCCGCATCGATACTAAATAGCGCCTGATCGAAGAATGGCAGATGCATTTTAAAGGATTTGGAAGGGAAGGTCGTGGACTACCAGAGATCCTGTGCCTGCATTTGCCTGGAAATACCTCAGTCAGGTGACCAGTGATCCTGCCGAAATCGAACCGAGCTACCATCAAGCACAAGTTAAGATTGTTACCCCTAGAGAAATCTGTTCGGTTCATTTGATTTGTGTTGATAAGGGCCATGAAAATTGTAACATAAAAAACTGTAGCTTTGCCTGTGATTCTGTATGGGTGTGAAACTTGGACTCTGACAATAAGGGAGGAACACAGACTGCGGGTGTTTGAGAAGAGGGTGTTGAGGAGAATATTTGGACCGAAGAGAGATGAAGTGACGGGAGGTTGGAGAAAACTGCATAATGAGGAACTTAAAAACTTGTACTTTCGCTAAGTATAATTAGAATGATCAAGTCAAGGATGACGAGATTAACAAGGCATGTGGCACGAATTGGGGAGAAGATGAATACATATAGGATATTGTGGGAAATCCAGGCGGAAAGAAACCAATAGGAAAACCAAAACGTCGACAGGTTGATAATATTGAAATGGATCTTAGATAGAATGGGATGGTATGGACTGGAATGATCTTGCTCAGGATAAGGAACAGTGGAGGGCTCTTGTAAACTCGGTGATGAACCTTCGGGGTCCATAAATTGCTGGGACGTTCTTGAATAGCTGCACAACTGGCGGCTCCTCAAGAAGGGCTCAGCTCCACGTAGTTAGCTGATAAGAGTCAGAGCTGTGCAAGTTATCGTTTTGCATGTCACGTGGTTTTTGATTCTGTGATACTGCTTAATGATTTCGTAGATTTGTGTTTCTTTTCCCCCCCTTGACACTACAGCCCCAATTTGGGCCTTGTCCTACCTCCATGAAACTCTCCGTTTCACTTCGGTTTACTAGATCTTAGACATTCGGTAGGACCCCTTGGACGGGTGATCAACTCGTCGCAAGACCTCTCTACCTGTATAAAAACACAGGAAAACGCACACACACACACAAACACCAAACTTCCATGCCCTTAGTGGATTCGAACTCACGATCCCGGCTTTCGACCTAGCGGAGACAGTGCATGCCTTAAGGTGCGTCCACATTACTCGTGCTCATACTCATGCTCGTGTGACTCGCTATGCTCGTGAGTAATGTGGACGATATGACAAGTCACGAGGCAAGCAATTTTAATTTTTAATTTAAAAACTGTAGCCAATAAATTAAAATACGACTACAGCCTATACACACTACGAGTAAATATACGGATCCTCACGCGCCGAAGCCTGGCGAGCAACTGAAGTAGTGTTGACGAAGATTTACGAGCACAAGTAAAAGCCAGACGAGTCTCCCGACGAGCACAAGCCTGGCGAGCACGAGCACGAGTACGAGTAATGTGAACGCGCCCTGACCGGCTTCGTAGTTCTATGTATGTTCCTAAACTGATTAGACCACTATTCTATTGGAGGGAAAGCTCTTATTCCGTCTGGAACCCATTAAGCTGCCCGAATGTAAAAATTCATAAGATAAATCAGCCTATCATTGGTACATACAGAATTTTCTCTCGCTTAGAACAGGAAAACAACCTGTATGAATTTTATGTAGGACTTTATTCTAGTTGTTACTGAACGTCTGCTGCGGTGAAGCGAGATAGAACCTTGCTTCCTAATTACTGCATATAGCTACATTTATGCTGAGTCGGCATATTGGAAACTATGCGTGCGGCAGAGGAACACGTTTCGATAATTGTTTCAAACTCCTCTGGCTTTTCTACTGGCGGCACAAACTGTCTGGTCAGCTTCATCCTACAGTAGCTCAAAAAAACTAAAACATTTCTCTTCTCCGACGGGCTCCTATCCCTAACGATAGCACGCTGTAGGCTGGCCCCCAGTCGTCAATATTCACGCTCGAATAAAGGGCACACCTCTCTACATTACAGGTTACGTCTGTACCGTACTCTGTGCATGACGCCTTTGAGACTACGTCATTTCCTAGATTCTATTTTTAGCCTAAGATGGGGACCAGAATCGCCAAACCTAACTTTCTGTTGAATAGACAGGACTTCTCTTCCGCAGGGTAGCGTAGTTGGTTGAGGCACTGTGCTACAAACCGGAAGGTCGCGGGATCGGATACCAATTAGGTGGATTTTTTTTTTCAATTTACCTAATCCTTCCAGCCGCACTATGGCCCTGGAGTCGACTCAGCATCTAACAGAAATGAATACTATAATTATTCCTGGGGCTAAGGCCGCCGCGTGAGGCTGACAGCCTCACCGCCATCTATGAGCCGATTGTGTGGAAAATTTGGGAACCTCAACATCTCACAAACCTATTGGCCTTTACGGCCTGTTACAGGGGTACCTTTACTTACTTCACTCACTTTTATACCCTGTGCTTAATTAATTAAGCACAATGACATGAAAAAATATGGGGGAGTGGAGGTATAGCTCCACCATTCTCGACCTCTGCACCAGATGGAGGTGAGTGTTCAGTTTCATGACCCGGCCGCGTCACCACCATGTGCCCATTGGATAGGGGCTGGGCCGGCCCAACCCGAGAACCGGTCTGGACGCTGTGGAGTGGAGAAAAATCTTTCTCTGCCGGGAACCGTACCCGTGTCGACTCCTGCTGTCGCAACCAAAATACATAACAGCTCTTTCGAATTATGCTTGGCGAAGAGTGCAAGTTAAGAAGCTCTTCATTGTGCAGTTTTCTATATAGTCCTTTAATTTAGTTAACTTGTAGGAACAGCAGCCTTCATGGCGCTGGCAGTCAGATCAGTGCCCAGCAGTATATACGTAAAATGGTGGAATGAAACAAGAGGAGGCAGTTCACAGGCAGTGTACAGCGAAGCCTATTGTCACGGAGTGTCTGAGTGACATCTGTGTGTAACAGGTGTATTGGTAAACAAGATATCGTTTAGCTTCATGCTGCGAGCTGTGGAAATAAGGGCATTGCGTCGCTTCGTAGCTGCCTCCTGGAGTTCGTTTCATCACGTAAGTTTCACTGTCAGAAACAGTGCCATGTGCTTACTGCGTCATCCTGCATGTAGGATCGGCCCTGATCGCTTGTGATGTCTGGAATTGGCAGTTGCCGATGTGTTTCGTAACAATTCCCATAAACATATGTTTACACTCATGCTATTTTTGGTAGAGTTATTTTCAAGAATCCTTGTCTTTATATATGTTGATTTGTAGGGTGGTTAGCGTAATGTGACTTCACGGTCTGCTTAACATAGACTGGAGTCGCAGTAAAGGCATAAGTGATATACGGTATTTGAACATTAAATATGAAATAATTTATGAGTGGTTTAAAATCAACTCACTTATGAAGTTAGCGACCACGCGGTCTGAGGCATGAACTGTGCTCGCTCGCTTCAACACTGGGATCGTGGGTTCGAATCCCACTTGAGAAATTGATGTCTGTATGCCTTTATTCTGTGTTTCTGTTGTCCTGTGTGCAAGTAGCGGCCTTGCGATCGGCTGATCCCCCGTTTAAGGGATCCTACCGACTGTGTAAAAAGATCAATAAAATGAGAAGGAGGCTAAGATCCAGCAATGAGCTTAGGTCCTTGTGTAGATGAAGTTATATATGATTTTGTCATCGTGAAAATAACATATATATAGTTCAGTATATAATCTGCTGCTCGTATCTGATACGAAAAAGAATCAAAATTGTAGTTGTACTGTTCTCCTATAAGGGGGTTGTTTCCTCTTGGTGAAGCGGCCAGGGCACGAAGCTGACCACTCATCTTCATCTGTTGCCGTGGTCAAGAATGATGTAGCTGTACCTTCATTCCCCACACGTCTTTATGGCTTAGTTCTTAATTAATTAAGGACAGGGGCTTGTTACTCTCTCTTGTTATGTGAGTGTGCGTCTGGATCTCACTTCAAGGGGAGATCATCTCTCGGGGTATGTGTGGCAGTTATCAGAGGAGATAGTTCGGAAACAACAGAGGTGAAGTTACGAATATCATGATAACGTGGGCCTACAGTTGTGCAAACAGGGCAATGAAGGGAAAGAAGAAGAGGAGATGAAGTAGGGCGAGAAGGAGAGGAATGATAGAGGAACAAGAGAAACGGAAGGCAGAAACATATTGTGGCGTATAGAGCTGTTGCTAGGCAGAGACCGCGAAACAAACGAGACGACAACCGTTGGTAGATGCGCTAACGGAGCACTATAGATAACTGTATACACGTAATGAGCAGCTCTGAAATTTGCGCTCTACACCAAATATTGATAGGATGAGCAAATCAGGAATGGTAAAATTTGCGAAACTTGTAGCACACATGAGAGTTGCATACAAATTGTAACTGGAAAAGCTTAAGGTAAGAGACCTCTTGGAAGATCTAAGCACATATGGACGGAAATGGCTAATTTTGAAATGGATGTTAAAAGAAATAGGGTGTGAGTGTTTGGGCTGGATTCATCTGGCTCAGGACAGTGTCCAGTGTCGAGCTCTTCAATATATTTTTTTAAATTTCTTTCGCTTAGTGGGGGGGGGGTGGAGTCCAACTGTGTCCAATTGGCACATCGGCCACTGATTGGCCTATTGTTGCCTGCCCAGGGTGATTATAATGATTGAGAATTTGGTGGAATGAAGATTGGCAGGTGAAACCGAAGTACTCGGAGAAAACCCGCCCCAGCGCCACTATGTTCACCACAAATCCCACCTGACCAGACCCGGGATCGAACCCGCCACGGTGGGAAGCCAGCGACTCACCGCTTGAGCTATGGCGTGGCCCCTTCAATGTATGGTAATGAACCTTCGGCTTGCTTAAAAGTCTTAGATTCTCATGAATAGTGAGCAACTGTAAGGCCCGTGGAGTTGGTTAGCTGCCAACTTCCGTTTTGTCAGTACCGCTGCTCGGTGGCACACTTCACTTCCCAGCATTCTTGTTTCAGAGGGTTTGTTGAGCTACTCCATGCCCCAAGGCATTCAGAGGGGTGCGGAAGTCGATCTGTCGGACAGGACATACGACGGACGCGAGGAGTCCGGCTACTTGAGCGGAGGTCTCGGACAGCTGGTCGACGGACAGAAGGGACAGGACATCTTCCGGCTTGATCTCAAGGGTCACGGCAAAGGTAAATATATTTTTCCTTGTTTTACTTTTGCTTGAAATTGTCGTCTATTGTGAAAGTGCCAGTTGTTGCCTCAGCCATTTGTCTGTAAGTAACGCGTGTCTGAGTCCCACGTCACGAAAGGATCAGAGTCTTCTGTGCAAGGTAACGTAGCTTCCGGTTCCACGCAAGGGCCCACATTGCTCCAGCTTCTGAAGAAGGATTTAATTCACTGCAGTTAATAATTTAATCACTGATTTTAATTTAGAACACGATCAATGGATTCTTTGCGAGATAACAATATTCTGAATTTTTCAGAATGACTGGGTTTTTGAACTATTCACATCGCCTGGTATTCTAGAAAACACTGCGTTTCGGAAACTGGATGTGTTTCCGTCCTCAGGTGAACTGGGGCGAGACACTTACTCAGTTGGGTCCCTTAGAAAGAGCTCAGTAATTCTGAGTATTATGTACCATTGTCAGAACCCTTTGGATTCTACTCTTGCATCATAACAATCTGATTGTAGGGGCGCATCTCTTGACCAATATCCAGACGTAACCGGGGGAAATTACTTTTTTCATAGCCTATTTAACGACGCTATCAGCGTCTGTAACGTCGTGGCGTCGAATGGTATGCTTAGTGAACAGTGGTTTGAAAGGGTATGGAAGGAAGCCGACGTGACTTGTTCGTGGCGCTGTCTCGACGTTTGCGAGGAGGGACTGGAGAAAACCACTAAATTATCAGTCATTATATCCACAATCCCGGCCGAGATTAGAACTTGGCATTTTTTTGCAGTAAGTCAAAAGCAATATTAAATTTTCACTGTGAATTAACATATACTAATATAATTCCAAATGTGAAAATAGGACCGTGCCTGAAACATTCATCATTTGTAATTATTGTGAACGCGAAAAATCACTGTAACTGATCCCAGCACGTATGTAAGGAGACTGTATTTGCTTCTATTCTGTATCTGCTCACATATCAAGAACACATCAACAGAAACATGCTACTTTTGTGGGGAATTCCTCTGCCCTTGATGCATTACTGCAGGAGTATTTTTATCCCGCCACACTTATCATCAGTGACAGGGGAACTCCTCCAGTGTTAAGCACAAGCGGGCATTGATGCCTTCAATGCCGTACAGGCGTGTCCGCTAGAAACGGAATAACAGAGATAAAGCAGAGGGGAAAGGGAACACACGGAAGGCGAGAAAACGAGAAATGAGAACGAAGAAAGAAATATACGTAGAGTGGACGATAAAGAAAAATACAATCAGAGAAAAGTGGGCGAATGGAATAGAGCTGCAAAGAAGACTTAAGAGATGAGGGAAGAAAGAAAGAAATAGGGAAAAAGGAAAGCGTAATATAATGCTTTCCATGTTGGATCCCATGTTAACTTTCCATAACTTAAACATTGATTGCTACATGTATTACATCCTTTAACATATTAAAACTCTGCAATCTGCCCGCAGAGTGTGTTTGTGTTTCGTATGGTTCTAGCAATTAAAAAGAGTTTCCCTAAACAGAATTAACCTGTTGGCTTTGTAGCGGTGACTTATTGTGTTTCCTGCGAGGTACGACCTGAATTCATATGTGTTACTTAGAAGAAATTTAGTCTTTAGCTTACTTTACAACGGGTTTGCTATTCTTTTTAAGATATGGTTATGTCTGATTACGGACGCGTGCTGGCCTAAAGAGAAGTCACTTTATATGCAGTTTCTGAGTCGAATTGGCAATCAGAATGTCATCATACTTTGTCCTAACCACTAGTAAAGCCTGACAGCACAAAATTTTTCATTCGAAATTTGTAGGGCTAGTCACGTCTGTAATCTTTTAACTGGACCAAACTCCACTTGCCTAGCTGAAGTGAAAAATTAAGTTAACGTAAAGTTTTCATCTTCCTGAAGCCCATAACTTCTAACCACGCACTGGCTGGCTCGCCCATTCAGTGTTCATAAGTACAGTGTGTTTCATAAAGATCTGACCGATTTCTGTAGCATTTGAATTTATAACGGGACTTTAGATGCAGTAATAAAACGGATTCCTCATGTTACAGGGAGCTTTAGATTTCCCGACAAAGCAGTGGTATTATATTATTCGTAAATTAATACCATAGTCTGTTTCCGCAAGATATTGCTCTTCATTACACAGACCTGACTCCGATCGCGGTGGCCACGCGGTCTAAGGCATGAACTGTCTTCGCTCTCTCGAACTATGGTATCGTGGGTTTGAATCCAACTCAAGGCATAGATGTTTGTGTCTGCGTTTATACTGTGTTTGTGTTGTCCTGTGTAGGTAGCGGCCTTGCGACGGGCTGATCCCCGTCCGAGGAGTCCTACCGTCTGTGTAAAAAAGATTACGAAACTGAAGAAGAGGCCAGAACCCAACAAAGGGCTGTAGAGCTATTGATGACTGAATGAATGAATGAATTAATTAATGAACGATGAATGAATGAGTACTCGTATTTAGAGGTATATAAGGTGGCGGTGAACCAGATAGTCCTAGTGTTCGTTAGTCAATAGTATCATGTTCAGATAGTAAGTATAATAATTTAAATTAAAAAATTTGGATGAGCCTTTGTTTAAAAAATTACTTTAAATTAACAGATAGAAGAGGGTGGTTTATTGTAACTTTAACAGTTATTTGTCTCCTGTTCGTAGAAGGAAGCTCAGTTGCATGTTATTTTCGGCTGAGGGTAATGTTACGATATCCGAGTGGTCCGCAGTTGCCGGAAGTTTGAGAAACACTGGGTTATTGCTTCACAGATGCACCAACGGAAAGACGTAGGGTCCAGCATAGAGTTCCACATTTTGTAATACAATTACCACGTGATAACTAAACATTTGCGTATAATACAGCACAGTAATATTAGTACATGCTTATAAACGTACACACAAAAACGACATGTTTTTTTCCTTGGAGGGTGGGGGGGGGGCTTGAGGATCACACAGCAGTGAATATGACGACAACCGTCTTCTGTGATATGACGGTGAGTAGTGTGGTAGAAGTTCGGCGATATTTCGGAGGAAAATACTGCTTCCATCTTCAAGGTCGAAGTGTAAGCCAAGCAAACGAACAATAAGAAGCTGGCAGCAAGCATGAGTTGTTTTGATTTTGGATGCATTCACCTTGCCTCCAGTAAATTTTTTAATATTGTGATGTGTAGTCCCAGTGCTAGGGAAAGAGTTGACAGACGTATTTCCGCAGAAAAGGATTATTCGAGTCCAAGACGACGTTTCTATGGGCACCGATACGCTATATAACAGGCAGCTCAGATGGGAATGCGGCCAGTCGTAAATCAGAATTGATTCAGTCTCGTAGTTCAGATCAGAAATGAAGAAGTAAAATGGACTAGTGAAGTGTGTGTGTCCAGTCAGATGACAGTCCAGAAGATGACAGTGTCGGATGTTGATTTGTGAACTGTTGTAACCGGTTATACATACATTCAATTCAGGTTGGAGTTTCTTGGAATTGTAGTTATATATGGTTTCTTCAATGACCCTGTCAGCAGCTCAGATTATGTAGCGTAGAATAGTAACGAAAGTTATACAAAATATTATGACGCATAGACTCATTGCTAGGCAACGGCTCGGTAAACACATTCCCGAAGCATACGCTCTCAACAATAGGATATCGCTAGATGACGGACCAATAAACACCCATTATTAATAACAGAAGACGGTGTTTTCCATGGTGTCCGTGCTGAGGAATTATAAGCGGGCATAGTCAGAAGAACTGAAGGAGTACAACGGAGTTCGGTTGGAAGTCAGAATAGTTCCCATGGAATGTCCAGTCGAATGAAGATGACAGTCTGTCATACAGTGATTTATGAACTGTTGTAACCAGTTGTATAAAGGCCCAATAAATTGGATCATCAAATCCAAAACACTTCTTATTAGTCACACACACCCCGGATACAAGACAGCATCATTCGCTATAAAGAGTTAAAGAATATCCACCAGTCACAGAGCAGTCCGTCATGCATTTCGATCCAAGGATAATCTGGTTACCCATTGCTTGACATCTTAATCTGATGCCATATCTGTCACGTGAGGTGCCACTGGAACTCTGTAACCGTAAGACCGCACACAGAACGTGTACTCAGTAGAAACTTAAACTCTTGGGACTTTTAATTCATGAATTAAACTTGCACGTACCCCTCCTGTCAGGTGTATTCAAGATACGACACAACGAAGCTTAAAGTTGCCAAAGTCTGCTTTCGTACTCCCTTGCGATGGAAATGGTACACTTTTGTTTACTTCGGAAATTCCTCTCTTCACGTAACTTCACAAATAATCTGCATAAAGACCGATTGTATAGTTTTATAATTAGTATTCTTCACTAAATATCAATTGGGGGTACTATGCTACAAGTCGGAAGGGCGCGGTTTCGATACATGATGAGATCATTGGATTTTTCAATTGATATAATCCTTCCAGCTGCACTATGGTGCTGTGGTCGACTCAGCATCTAACAGAAATGAGTACCAGGAATATTCCTGGAGGTAAAGGGCGGCCGGCGCGTAATCCTGACAACCTCACTGCCATCTGTGAGCCGATTGTCTAGAAAATGTGGGAGTCTCGGCGTCTCAGAACCTTGTGGGCCTCCATTGCCTATTATAGCGATAGCTTTACCTTTTTTAATATTATTACGATATCAGCTCAAGGACATCGAAAAGGCGGAGCAAGTAATGAGCATTTGAGATATCTAAAATAGATACGAAGTGTTAAAAGTGAATGGAAGACGTCAATTTGATGTCCTAGGCGCAAAACGGGGTAAGTTTACGAAACAAGGTTTGATAATATGGACTGGACTATCATCATGTCACAGGTCACAGATCGAATCGAGGAGGAATGTGATGAGAGAACACATTCATATATAATTTCTACCTTCAGCGCAACAATAGTCTATAACTTATTTATTTATTTATTTATATAGCACGCACTACATGTTTCGACCTCAAATGGATCATCTTCAAGTGCTTCAATTTTCTCACATAATATTACCAACTGCAACGTCAA